TTTCACGTCCTCTTTCCCCTTAGATGCCTGTGAAGGAATAATTTGATGATTGCAAACTACAGCTAGTTTCAAAGATTAATTATAGTCTATATGTCTTTACCAGGCTAGTTTCTGAGTGCTCATGCTATCACTGAAAGGTGTTACATAGCTCAGAAATATTGTGACAGTGGCACAATTAATAACACGAACTTTCTCGTGAGTTGGTCAAAAATTTGGCTCACTTCTTGTAAATCTAGACTTAATGTGATTTATTCTCAGAAATGATACAGGAAAATACCAGCCCAAGATCCAGAATTTGGGAAGTCCTCTTAATGCCCCTCAAATGCTTTAGTCTTTTCTTTAAAGCATCTTTTTAAATTTAAAATCAGACCAGCGAGTGCTTCTCATCAGGAGGGTTTGTAGGAGTGCAGGAAACTAGCAGGTGCTTGTGTGTTGCGGCAGGAACTCAGGGGTGATGTTGTCACCCGGGTTGAACAAGAGTCATCAAGTTCCTGTAGCTGTGCATTCAACATCAAAACCATGTTCTTTAAATTCTGAGAACCCAGGGTAGATCTTACTGTTTCTAACACTTTAACACAGTGTTCCCTTCTAGAAACAGTCCCCAAATTAAAGAATGGGAGTGATAGTATGTTTTAAACATATCCATTTTATGTTTATTGAATTTATTCATATTCATTGAATATGTTTCATTTTAAATGAATCTTAGAAATGTGTGGTGTCCATTGTTCCAAAAGGTGCCAGGAGAAAGATAGGATGGGGATGCACGTAACACAGAGAGCCAAGAGATCATGTCCATCTTTCTGTCCCCCCCAAAAAAATGGGAAAATAGTAAAAGAAGGAAATAAGCAGGGACCAGACGCCGTTCTCAGCTTTGTGAGAACCAGAAATCGTGTGGATCTGGAGCAAGTGTGCAGCCCAGGTCTTAAGGCGCCCTTGCCTTTCCAGTTTGAAGGTTTAATTTTGTATCTGTTAGTACCCAGTGCTTGCCTTCCTGCCATAAGCCCATGAGGTCACTGTGTTATCTGATGCCTGTGTTGTCCCACCTGTAAAAACCTGAATCAAAAGCTGCTTCTCGAATTGATTCTATTCATCTTTACCCACGTGGTGCACATTTTATCCATTGGGGGTGACCCTCACTGAGAGGAGGGGACAGCGATGAACTAAAACGCTACAGTGTTGCAGTGAATTGGATTAGTTAGTGTTCGAATCAGAGATCCTCCCACCCTGGGAGGAGGGGGGATGTGTGAGACCAGAAAACACACGCACAGCAACTGGGAGTCCCCTTCTCAGGCCAGTTTAAGCTCAGATTGGACGTATGCCTGGCTTTTCAGTGTAAAGGAACAAGATTTCATTATGAGTTTTGGTAACCCTGTTTGTATGGATTTCTAGTGATTATTTGCATGTTTCAGTTTTACCAGCCTAAGTTCCACTAAGAAAAACAGATTTTTTAAAAATCTTACTGAGAGAGATACTTTGTATTTTTCAGTAGCTGCTGTTTTTCCGAAAGCTCTCCATCAATGGATATGAATACACTGTGTTTACTATTAGTTTTCAAACTCTAGGTTCCTCTGCTGTAGTTACAGAATGAGGGTGTTTGGGGGCTTTTGTCAAGTTAGGGGCCATCTTGGAGGTTTTGGCAGTGACCTCCTTGTTTTGAGCCCATATCTGCCTAAGCGTCAAGTCTGACTTGGACTCTGTGTTGACGGTCCAGGGGTGGGTTGACAGCTAGATGGTACTTTCTAGTCCAATCAGGGAAGGAGTGCATTTCTCCTACCGAATCTTACTCAGGGGCTGGGGCTCTGCCCTCCAGGTACAAGCCTGCAGGAGTGTTTTTCTCTCACCAGATGCAGCACTCCAGCTAGCTACCAGCATCGAAAGGATACGCATCGTAATAAAAATTACCGTCTTCCGTTGTTGGTGGCGTTTATCTGATAAGAGTGTCACAACACGAATAATGTGTGTGAAAGAACTGAAATGCTGAGTGATTCTTCTGATAAAGAAACTGAAAATAAAATCATGCTCCGATCTGCAGCAGCCCCTGCCACGCATAAAAATCGACTCTGGCATTTTACATTTCCATCCCCAAATGACGGAATTCATCCAGTGTTTTGTTTTGAAAGGAGTAAATTTCTGAGCACAAAGAATCCTGGAGTTAACTGGTCTTTGCCAGGCCTGTGGAGGTGGACACCTGACAGCAGACCTCTGAGCTGGCGGGGGATGTGAAAACACCGCTGAGAGGGAAGTAATTTAATCTCTCTCAATCCTGGCAACAGTCGTATGTGTTTGGTAGGACAAGCAGAATTTATGGTCACCATCATTTTACAGGCGGAAAAAGAGAATCCCAGGGAGATTAAATGAATTCCCATTATTTCATCCATCGTGCTAGGCCTTCGAGGACTTGCAAGAGAGTTATAAGACACGATCCTGGGGGAGGCTATAGCTCAGTGGTACAGCACATGCTTAGTTAGCATGCATGAGGTCGTGGGTTCAATCCCCAGTCCCTCCATTAAGATAAAAAGATAACTAAACCTAATTATCTTCCCCCACCAAAAATTTTTTAAATAAATTAAATACATATTGTTAAAAGACATGATCCCTTCCCTCAGAGAGGTTATAATCTAGTAGAGGCTAAAAATGTTATAATCTGATAATGGTAGGCAGCATGTGAATGTTAAAAGACCCACATCATGGGTAAGGGAGAGCGGTGCATGGAGACAGCTCTGGTCAGTGACCTGATTCGGAGCGAGGCTGGAGTGAGGAAGAACGAATTGGTGAGTGAAGCTGGAATAACAGGAAAGGAAAACCTCAGGCAGGACAGGAAGGAGAGCCATCAGGCTTGGAGGTGGACGTATAGGAAAGCCACAGACAGTGACACTGCAGTGTTCCTTGGCGCCATCTGACAGGGCATCCTGAATGTTTGGAGTGGGGTCCCTGGAAGTCGCGTGGCACGGTGACTATTTCAGATTAAACACTTCTGTGGCGGTGACCGGGGTGGATGGAAGTGGGGAAGCAGTAGCCAGGGAGAGAGACCGGGGAGCTCTGTATCTCTTCCCTGAATTTTATGGGAAAGGTAAAATAGAGTTTACATTTTTTTCTAGCTTGATCTATTTGCAAACTAAATAGACTTTGCAGGTCTTCATAACTGTGCATTTTTGAACTCTAAGATTAGATTTCAGGCGAAAATTCAATTCTTGTCTCTTCTCTCTCTTGATAATAAAGAGCCACGATGTGTAGTGAACGGACGCCGTGAGCCTCTGGCCGTTTGTCCTGAGACAGGGTGAGGCAGGTGACCTCAGAGCCGGTGGGCAGCTATGCAGAGGGCGAGGGGTCTGCAGAGTGAGGCTCTACTCACCTCGAAGCTGTGGATTTTTAAGACTCATGGTCCATCTCGCTGTTCAGTAGACAAGAAAACGGAAACTGGTCCATGTGCCCCGTGGCCTTCTGAGGAACTGGTATATGGAGGAGAGAGAACAAGTTGGATGGTTAATGAAAGGCAGTATTCTGTTCCTTTATCATTTAACCATCTTTCCTTTCTTTTGAGAGAGAAGTGAGTGTGTTTACTATAAAGAGAGTTGGTGTGTTAAGTTTATCTGAGAAATAAGAAGATACTCTGAAATATGTCCCTTGGGAAACCAGACCTCTGCTTAGGGAGGTAGGACCAGTGAGGACCTGGGCTCAAAACTGAGGACCTCTCAGTGCTGGGGAAGAGGGGGTGACTTCATTCCTAAGTGACAAGAAAATCAGAAAGGAAGAAAGGCAGACAGATCAAAGCAGTGGCAGGCGAGTTTATAAGATCAGAAGGTAGCTACCTAGACTTTGGCATAATTGGCTTTAAGCGTTATCTTTCTCTTCCTCTCTTACCTGTGGTCCAGGGAGTGGCTAAAGGACAGCCGAGCAGTGATGAAGGGATGGTTGAGGTGTGGCGTGGGGGAAGCAATGGATGCGGTGATGCAGGGTGGATGTCCTAGCGATGAAAGCACATTGCTTCCCTGTGAAGAGAATAATCTGAGGCAAACTAAGTGAAATTTTAGCAGTTATGAAAAATGTTACCATTTGCTTCCATGTTAAATCACCACCAGAAACAGGGTACAAATTAAAACACTTTTTTAAAACCAAATCTTCCCTCACTGACTGCTGTTAGGTTAGGTTTGGAAGTGGAAGGGGTCAAGAAATAGGGTTCAGAACCGATTTGTAAATTCCAAGTCAGTTTCCTGGTAATCAGGAATTGATTCAGTTTCCTTTGACAGTCATTTAGTGAATGCAAATACCTTCCAGGAGAAGGGGCTGGAGAAGAATCCTGGACGGGAATGGACAGCCATCTCGGCCGCTGTCTCTCTCTCTCTCACAGCTGAGTGAGAGTGATGTCAGAAAGCACACGACACCCCACATGTTGAGCTGAAGTTGTGCTCTTAATTCTGTGTTATAAAAATGCCAGTGCTCTCTCTCTATTTCATACGTGTAATTTGTTTTTTCACTTCTCCATGAATGGCATTTTTATGAAGACCAAAATGATGTGTGAGACTTATTGGGAACATACTGATAGGAGTTTCTAGTAAAATAAATAACCCCTCCAATAATGATGCTTCCTGTTAAAAGCGCTTTGTGCCTTCCTTCAGAAAGACCCTGTGAATTGGGTGGGATCGAGTCCAAGAGAAGCAGCCCCCTTTGGACGACACTTTCCACAGCTCGTTTACTACGGGGTTGTCCTGTTGCTTAGGAGCTTAAATGAAATGAAAATGGGATGGCCTTGTAGATCTTTTTGAGGTATAAAGGACTGACGGGGATAGCCATGGAACCAAGAATTTGTAAAATTAGGGAAAGAAATCATGAAAGCGGGTTTCAAATTCTTGTTTTAAAAATCCCTTTCATTTCTTACTCATCTCTTGTTCGTTCCTTACACCTCCTGTGCCTCGTTACGGCCGACTTATGCAACTGCTTGATGTGCTGTGACTTTAAACACTCGGAGCGTTACAGTGTTGTTTGTTTTTCCCTCCCTTTAGGAGATGACCTGGCTTCCCCCACTTTCTGCTATTCAAGCACCTGGCAAAGTGGAACAGAGCAAATTTCCATTTCCAAATAAGGTGAGATCCTCCATCACCCAGGATAAATATACTTTTAAAAAATGTTTTTATTTTTTTCATTGAAGTATAGTCATTTTACAATGTGTCAATTACTGGTGTATAGCATAATGTTTCAGTCATACATATACATACATATATTCCTTTTCATATTCTTTTTCACTATAGGCCATTACAAGGTATTGATTATAGTTCCCTGTGCTGTACAGTAGGACCTTGCTGTTTATAGGGTGAATATACCTAACTCACACACAGATTTTTAGCAGACAGTGGGTTTTCCCTTGATTGTCTTTCCTCTGTAAATATTCCTGCCAAAGGCATGTGGATCTGATTTTCAACAATTTGCAAGCATATATCTATTCATCAAAGGGAGAAAATCCAGCTTGCAGTCTTACTTACTTCCATACTTCCTGCAAAATATGATGAATATTATCATTGTCATTTTTTCTAAAAACACTCGTGAAATTGAAATGCATCTTGCAATCATTTTATACATTCTGTGTGATTGTATGTCTTGTTTTTTCTTGAAAAGCTGTTATTAAATTAATGGTGAATCTTAAAATCAGTGTCTTAGAATTGAGAACATGAAGTATATAATTTCTCGGTTATCTTTTATAAAGCTTAAAATATTTTCTAAGACTTTAAAAAAAGACTTCCATATTTTCTAAGAGCAAGCACACAAAAAAATCAAGCGTAAGCTGTAGTTAAATTATACATAAGTCTAGTAAGTTTTGATTTTTAACCATACAACCAACACACAATTACATACTCATTATAAAGAAAAATTATGCAAATAGAAGGGGCAAAATATGGAAGTTTCTAGCACCCTTGTGATTCTCCTGAGCCCACCTGGATAATCCAGGATAATCTCGCATCTCAAAATAGTTCATCACATCTGCAAAGTCCCTTTTGCCATGAGAGGTAACATATTCACGGGGTCTGGGAATTAAGATACAGACATCTTCGGGGGAGCCCTTATTCTGCCTACTGCAAAGACATCGTTAATCCTCACACCTAGGACGTGTCTTTTAACCTGTATTTCACTAATTAGTATTCTCACAGCTGGAGGTGTACCGTTCATTAGTCAGATTATTAAGGTTTGAGGTTATCACAATTGCTAGTGTGTAGGAGCTAGAATTGTTTATGGAATTTGCAGGGCAAAATCTCCAAAATGACTAATAAATAATGAAATTAAGCCCTTATTAAGATTAAAGGGGCAATGTGACCTCACAAGGAAACTCGATTTAAATGTCCTTTCTGAGTTACCAGTACCACTAAATTAATTAGGTACATACTTCCGAGAATTTCCCCAATTTCTCTGGGTATTTGAAGGACATAATATATGATAAAGTCAATTGATACGGAACCTGGACATTTTTTTCTATTCTCTGAAGACTTAATTTGGAGCCACGACTCCCTAGATAAACACTACCAGACGTGTCTGCCTTATTCTTCAAATCGCAAAAGTTTGGCAATTTTCACAAAAATTTGGTAAAGAAAAGAAGGCATGCCATTACCAGGAATTTCAACCAAAAAAAAGTATGAATTTGCTTTTGCCCTTTTCCTTTCAATTCTGTAGCAGTCTCATAAGTTTTGAAAGGCAAGTAAAGAACTCAACATTATAGAACTTTCTCCATCCTCTGCAGGTGTATTTGCAAATCTAATGCCATTCCACAAACATTTCGTGTCATGCGTGCTGAATCTGCCTGGATCAGACCTGGTTTGAAACTATTCTTGCTGATCAGTTTTGTTTTGTTTTTTTTTTAACTGAAGTACAGTCAATTACAGTAGTGTCAATTTCCGGTGTACAGCACAATGTCCCAGTCATGCGTATACATACATATATTCATTTGCTGAACAGTTTTTAATGCATTAGGCAGAAGAATTCTAGCATCATTACAGAAATGATTGCTTTTTTCTTTATATACTACAAGAAGAATGAAAGCCAGCGAGTGTGAAGGAAAATGCTTTCAAGTTGAAAAGTTTATGATCTGTCTCCCTCTTTGGGTTCCTAGCATGCTTCAAACATGACCTCAAAATGTTTGGGCTAAAGCTTCATGTTTATTTCATTACCTCAAAGGAAACATTTAAATTAATTTTAATTTACATGATTTCCCTTGTACTAAGCTTTACAGAAAAGAATGAAAAGAAAGAGATTGGGGACCAAGCCAAATCAAGTGGTTGATTCTTTTTCCTGTAATAATTAGCTTTATGTGGGGATCTGAAAATCAAAGAAGGTATATTTCCATTTCCTGCCCTTTGTAATTCTAATGATGGACTGACACACAAGAAAGAAAAAGTCTGAGTCCAGTAGTCCCCAGATGGTTCCAAAAACCATCTCTAAGTACTGCCCTCACAGTACACGTACCACCTGCCGTCAGCAACGTGGCTTAAAAGCAACTCTTTTTTTTTTTGATCTAAGGTGCATTTTTTTTTAACATTTAAAGGTCCCTAAAATCAGGATTTGCTTTACAGTTGATAGCATTTTACAAATAATTGGCAGTAACTGTCTTCCATAGTAGCACATGAAGTAATGCAGCTTTATCCAGTTTTGTTACATTTGATAAAATTTAGTATTTATTATAGTACTTCCTTGAAGGGCTTTCCCAGATACCAGTGTGCTTCATTACTTCTGTCTTCAGCCAAATGATTTGTACAAACTCTACTTCCCAGCTAAACACCAATTTTAAAGAAGTTTGGGGATTCCCTGGTACCCGGCAATGGTTTAGGTGTTGGGAATTCAGGATTTAAAGATGGAGAAGAATAAATTCCCATCTAGATCTTCTTCTGAGTGACAGAAGGTGGCTCTCCCCTTTATGCACGTGACCGTCAGAATGCCACACACTTGATGAGTGACAGGGCAAACTAAAAGCAGGAGAGTAACCTGAGAAATGTCCTGTTGGAGGGTTACAGGCAACTTTTTAAAAAATATTTTCCTGTTTTCCTGAATTTTCTTAATGAATAGACATGACGTTTTGCTGTGGTTTAGATAGCAAACGCTACTTGATAAAATGAAGCCATCCTTGGGTCAAGACAATAATAATAGTAGCATTCTTTGTATGGTATTTCTTATCTAATCTGATACTTTAAATATGTACAGTTTACGTGTCATTTGCACCTCAACAAAACTGGGTCTGTTTTTGTTTTGTTTAGTTTTTTTAAAGGAGTCCTGGTCTGTTTAATTTTTTTAAAGCAGGCATAGTTGAAAAGACAATTCCTGCAATAGAGGTTTGACACAGTGCAGGGAAAACATAAAGAAAGCATATAAGTCCTCCTGCGATTCAGGAATATTTCAAAGAACAAGGAACCCTGGAGCATCTTTGGGTTGTGCCTTGAGGGTAGAATGAAGTTTGCAGAGCAGAAGACAGAAGATGGCAAGACACGCCTCCCGAGGAGAGGAAGGGACGACTGCGAAGACTGGGAGCAGTCCTACATAGCAGTCTCCCTTTCAGCCCTTGGTTGTAACAATTTGTACCCGGCCCGGCTCTGGCTCAGTGAAGGAGGAAGGATGGGCACCCCCTGTGAGGCCCCCGGGGGTCTGCAGCCGGCTGGGCAGAGCAGTACTCCTGCCAGAAGCAGCAGCCACAGGCCCTGTCATTGGCCAGCTGAGAACTGATCAGGTTGTGGACAGCGCCCTGTGGGCCTCGTAAGGGGCTCAGACCTTCCATCAGCAGACGGGCGACACGCTGGCCAAAAGTCAGTCAGAACGAGCATCGGGCATCATCAGTACCCACAGAGTGGCACAGCCTAGGAACACGGGCTAGAGTCAGTGATTCTGAGCTACGTTTGTTGTTAGTGCACCGCTTAGAAGACGTCAGCTAGAAACATGAGATGACATATGAGGGACAAAGTCTTTATTTTATTTTGCCCCTCCGAATGTCTCCTTCTGTCCAGAAGAGCCAACATCTATGATTTTTTTTAACCAGTTACTTTAACCATTTTCTGCCTCTCTTTACTCCCCACCCAATAAAAGTCATCATCATTAATTACACAGATGTCCTGGCTGAATGCTGAAGCTCGCTGTCTGTGAAACACGAGGCCTTGCAGTGTGTAACTGTGATCCGCCTTCTCTGTAGGCTCCCCTTCGGTTCTCTGCTCGACAGTCTATGGTCACTGGTCACCATCTGGGTTTCAGGATGTCTAAAGTGCATCAAGAAGTAAAACCATCTATGTCCTAATAACATCAGTAGTTTCACAAAAATTCTTACTGTTGTTTTTTTTCCTTCTTCTAAGAATGATCTTAACATTGAAAAAACTGTCTCAGTGACCATTCTTGTCTATTTGATGGTGAGCAAGTCTTCACCTGTCTAGTACCAGATACCTCCAAAATGTTGAAGTCTCCAGACGGCTCAGAGAAGTCTACTACATGGGGTTCAAAGTATTTTTCACGTGTGAAAGCCAACACTAAGCTGTGTTCAGATATAAACCCTAAATTAATTAGAAGCAATGAGAAACATACCAGTCCATCTGGGGGATCTAACTGAATGTCTTCTTCATAACAGCAACTGTCCAAAACACGCCAGAATCACTTTTGAGGATTATATCTTCATCTGCCATTTCAAGAACTGTATTTCATCTTAATACACTATTTCCAAAAACTGAATCTCAGGTTGAGAGTTTGTTTTTTTTCTTCAGATGAATGGCTCATTTCTATACGCTTTGATATTAAAGGCATCTGTGTATGCCTCAGTCTGCTTAATACAGTGGGAATCCCTTCCCGTCCCAGTTTTCCTACCTGGCCTCTATCCACCAGTCTGGGTAAAAGTAAAATAATAAAAATATATATGTAATATTTACTATTTTAAATAATAAAAAAGCCATAAAAATAGAAGTTAGTTTCATTTCACTGGATCTTTGTTCCACACACTAAAATTGGAAAGGAGTCTCACCAGACTTAATGCACTGCTATCTATTTTATTACATTCTTACCATCTCAATTAATTCATTCTTCTATAACTCTCCTTTGTATTTCACATTAAATAGGAACTTTGTAAGGAAAGACGATGTGAATTCCCAAGACAAAATCAACCTTTCACTTTAGTGGAAGTGAAATCAGGTTTGTTCACTACTTACCTGATCAGAAACTAAACTCAAATACTATATAGTGCAGGCTTTCTGCCATTTCTGATAAGTGGAAATCTGTGATGATCTTTCCATCCACCAATGTGAGATTGACAACCAGTGTTCAGCACCGTGTCCCTGATGGAGTGGTCACCAGCCTTGTCTTCAGAAAGGTGGTAAGAGTGAGGGTACCTTCAATGGGAAGTGGATGAGATTAAAAGTCAATAATACAGTAGGCCCTAAACATAAGAACTAAAACCATAAACTTCATAGAAGAAACAGCGATAAATCTTTCTGACCTAGGATTTGGCAATGAATTCAGATACAACACCAAAAGCATGAGCAACAGAAGAAAAATTAGGTAAACTGGACTTCATCAAAATTGAAAACTTTGGTGCATTAAAGGACATTATCAGTAAGGTGAAAAGTCAACTGGCAGAATAGGAGGAAATATCTGCAAATCATATATCTGATAAGGGTCTGGTATCCAGAATATATAAAGAACTCTTTTAACTCAACAAAAAAAGGACAAACAACCCAATTTGAAAAATGGACCAGGGAAAAGTGGGGGGCAAGGGATAGATTAGGAGTTTGGGATTGATACACATTTCTATATATAAAACAGATAAACAACAAGGACCTACTGTATAGCACAGGGAACTATATTTGATTTCTTGTAATGAGCTGTAATAGAAGAGAATCTAAAAAAATATATATGTTATGTGTATGGATAACTGAGTCACTTTGCTATACACATGAAACTAACATTGTAAATCAACTACACTTAAATAAAAAAATAAGAATTAAAAAAATGGAAAAAGTACTTGAATATGTATTTCTCCAAAGAAGACATACAAATGGACAACAAACACGTGAAAACCTGCTCAAGGTCATAGTCGTTAGGGAAACGCAGATCACAACCACAGTGAGAAACCACTGCACGTCCACTCAAATGGCTATAAAGATTTTTTTTTTAGTTAAAGGAAAATGAGATGTGTTGGTGAGGATGTGCAGAAATTAGAACCCTTATACATTACTAGGAGAAGTTCAAAATGGTTCAGCCACGGAGGAAAACAGTTTGTCAGTTCCTCAAAAAGTTTAACATAGAATTATCATATGACCCCGCAATTCGACTCCTAGATATATATGCAAAAAGATTGAAAACAAGGAGTCAAACAAGTACACGTGCATGTGCATTTATAGCAGCCACACTCACAGTAGCCATAAGGCGGAAGCAGCCCAAATGTCCGTTAACAGGTGAATGGATAAACAAGTTGTTGTATAGTGTAAAGAAATGCGGCTGATTTTTATATGTTACTCTTGAAACCTGCTACCTTGCCAAATTTGTTTATTAGCTCTTGTAGTTTTTGTGTAGAGCTTTCAGGGTTTTCTATATATAGTATCATGTTATCTGCATATAGTGACGATTTTATCTCTTTTCTTCCAATTTCGATCTCTTATTTCTTTTTCTTGCCTCATTGCTGTGGCTAGGACTTCCAATACTATGTTGAATAGAAGTGGTGAGAGTGAACATCCTTGTCCTGCTCCAGATTTTAGGGGGAAGGCTTTCAGTTTTTCACCATTGAGTATTATGCTATATTGTCATAAATAGCTTTTATTATGTTGAGATATGTTCCCTTATACCCACTTTGGTAAGAGTTTTCATTATAAATGGGTGTTGAATTCATCAAATGCTTTTTCTGCATCTATTGAGATGATCACAAAATAATGCCATTTGCAGCAACATGGATGGACCTAGAGATCATCATTCTAAGTGAAGTAAGCCAGAAAGAGAAAGAAAAATACCATATGATATCACTCATATGTGGAATCT